ATGTTTTACCTATATTTTTATTATTACTATCTTGTAATTATTTTTAGTAATTTCTTCTATGTTTTTAATTTTTACAGTTTGTAAACTTGAAACTAGTTCTTTTGATATCTATATATAGTTAATTCTTGTTACTATTTTTAAATTTGATTATATGTATCTTTGTTTAGTTAGATGCATTTCTTTGTATATATCATAGAAGTCTTGTCTTTTTATTTAACTAAATATTGGCAGTCTTCTGTAGCTTATAGCTTGTAAGTTCTGTTTATTTAAGACATTATTTATTGTATAATTAAAGTTTCCTATAATTATTATTTGTGTTTGTCTATTTTTCTTTGTAACAATTTCTATTATTTTTTATTAAATACTTTTTCTTATTTCTTTGTTACTTAGTAATATATAGATCTCTATTATTATTAACTTCAATTGCTTGAAATATAATATGATTTTTATTATATAATCATTTATCTTCTTAACTCTGCCTACATGTTTTGTTTATTATTCTCCTATCAAAACTCCTGCATCTAAATTTTTTTTCTTGTCTTCTGCTATATTACTTTAATATCTGTTATATCTTCTTGTTGTCTTGTGTACTAAAAACTTTTCTTCTTTTTCTGCAAGATTTATTTCTGTAATTCTCAGTATTGTAATTTTCTCTTCTTCTGCCTAGCCAAGCAGATTTTCAAGCTTTTAATCTTTAGTTTTTAATATATTAATATTGTGATATGCAATTTTGATTTTTTTTCTTTTTTTTTCTACTTTTTCTCTAACTGCTCTTGTACTATTTTTGTAATTTCAGTTATTTTTCTTATTTATTTGCTCTTTTCTCTTCTTAGACCAGAAGGTATTTATTTTTTTTTTCTTCAAATATTCTTCTTTTTCTTTGCAGAAAATTTCTAATATTCTTATTTGTATTTATAGGTTCAACTAGAGTGCCCTTAGAAGTAGTTAGCTAGGCCTTTTTTTATATCTAGCTATATGTCTTCTAATTGGTTTAGTCTATTCAAAATTTGGCCTAAAACATCTACCACCTATTTTGTTTTTAATTGCATTTGTATATCTGATTTTATTTTTCTTTTTGTTATGTTTTCTTTTTCTTTTTCTGTATTAGTATTTTTATCTTCTACCCATTTTTCTATATTCTGTATTTGAGAATTATTTCTCATTTCTACATATTTTCTATTTTGAATCTGACTGGTCTGTTCTAGCTTTTTTTTTTTTCTGCAATAGTATTTTTATCTCTTAACTATTTTATTATATTTTGTATTTGTAAATCATCTTTTATTTTTGCATATCTTTAGTTTGAACTTTGGTTAGTTCTTTTTTAGCTTCTTTTTTTTTTTTTAAAGTTTTTTTTCTTTTTAATTTCTGTTTTTTTTTTATTTAATTATGATACTTGAAAGTTGTTATATCTAATCAGTCTTGACTAGGTTGCCTTTATTTTTTTTCTGTTGTAAATATAATATTGCTGTTCTTTTTTGATTTCTATTTCTGTTTAGTAGAATATAAACTGATTTTGTACCTTTGCTTCTTAGATAGTGAAATAGTAGAACTTCTAAAGTGTTGCTTGGTAGCTTAATTAATTTTACTATATACTAACTTTGTTTTTTGTTTTGCTTTATAGTTTTTTTTACCTTCTGTTACTCTTACTAGTTTGTTACTATTAGCTGATATAGACTATAAAGTAAATTCTTCTTTTGATTCTTTTAGCTACATAATTGTGAGAGATTTGTATTTGGATCTTTTAATTCTTGCTATGTATACTTTTTTAAATCTTTTACAAATATATTTAAGCTCTTTTTTGTTTATATATGCTAATAAGTCTCAGATTGTTATATATATTAAGTTTTGTGTTTCCTTTTCATCAATATCTGTTTAATTTTAATTTAGTTTTTTTGAATTCTTTTTCTAATCATATATCTTTTTTTGGCTTTTGATATATTGTTTCTTTTTTTTTTGTATTTTTTATTATATATATTTTCTTACTATTTATCTTTTTTGTATACTTTCTTTTTTTTTGCGATCATTTTATACTAATTACTCATTTTTTTGCTAATTCTTTGTATTATCTTACTTTTATCATACTTATAGTCAAAGTCTACCTCTATTTATAAATTTTCTCTTTTAAAAACTTCTTTAATATCTTTGACATGTTTATTGTTTTTTAGTAACTATTTAATGAAGTTTGTATATTTTTCTTTGATCTTTCTAGATATATTATGTGCTGATATGTTTACAAGCAGACTATTATTTTAATTACAACTTCTCTTACTAGGGTCCATATACTTTCTTTAAGAGATACTTCTAATATATTAATTTTTCTTTTTGCTTTTTGTTTTCTTCTCTTTTTTTTTTGTTTCTTTTGCTATTGAACCTTATCTTGATTCTTTTCTGTTTATTTTTACATCTTTATGTTCTTGATTTTTTGTTTGTTCTTTTTCTTTCTTCCTTTGAGTAGATGATTTTGTCTGACTATTATATGTTTGTCTTATCTTTATACTTCATTTTTTGCAGATTTAATACTTTTTTGTAACTTTTTACTGGGTTTTTTATTTTTTATGTTCTTTTTTTGTATCTTTTCATTAGGCTCTTCTTGTTTTTTTTTTATTTTAGTTGTTTGCTATTGTTTTTTTTTTTTCTATTTCTATATTGTTCTAAGTTTGTTTTATCAAATCAAACTTTTTTCTAGTTCTCTATCTGCTTTTTCTACTATTTCTTTTGTTATTTGCAAAAGAACTATTTTATTTGAATTTTGTTTTGTAAGTGATGCAACAATATTATCTTTTCTATTAGGTATTGCATATGTTTGTTTGCTTCATTAAAGAAGAATTTATTATACATATTGTTTATTGTCCAATATGCTTTTTTTGTAAAGGTTGTATTAAAATTTTCTTTATATTCTTCTGGCTCATATTATATAGTTGTTTTTTATATATTTCTAAATTACATGTTCTATCCAGATTAGACTAGTTTAATGTACATGTTTGTATGTTTACTTTACTCATTCTGTTGTGTTTTGTATAACTTAGAAGAGCTACAAAACAGGATTATAACAATTTTCTAATTTTTGCAAAATTTTTTATTTTTATTAAAAATACTTTTTTCACTGTTTTTTGCTACCTCTATATATTTCTTTTTGTGTTTTTGCTTTTTAATTAAGTTTAACTTTTACTAGTCTCTTTTTTTTATTAAAGATCAGAATCTTGTTTTTTAATATAATTCTTGAGTTTTTAACATTTTGCTTTTTGACAATTTTGGTTAAGAATCTATAGAAAAGAGTTATTAAAATTATTCTATTTTATACATATTTGCTATTTAGTTTATTTGCTTATTTTTTTAAGAATTACTTATAAGCTTCTATTAGCTTAATAGTATTATTAAAAATTTATAATAACTTTTATTTAAAAATTTTTAAATAGATTTTATTTTCTTGGTTTCTTAGTTTTTTGTACCTAATAGTTATATTGTAAGTTTGTACTAAAGTCTTATATAATACTAGTAAGCTTTTCTTTATATATATATATTATTAAACTTTATATAAATACTTTGAGCTCTTAATTAATTTAGCAAAAGCAAAAAAAAATTAGACTGTTAAAATTATTAGAAAAAAAAAATACAAAAGTATACTATTACTAGACTATTTTAATTAGTAGTTTGTTAGTTCTAAATAAAAACATTAGTAGAGAATGATAGAGAAAATATCAAAAAAATAAATATTAGAGTTTTAGTAAACTTTATAAAAATAAAAATAATGTATAGTAGCAGTTTAATAAAATATCTATAATTGCAAGTATTAGTCTAGCTATAGCTTGTTATATAAAATTAGATTAGTAGTATGTAAAATATTAAAGATTTTATGTTAAGAATAAAGTAGCTCTAAAAGTACTAAAATATATTAGAACTTTAAATAAGATATGCTCTAAAAATATCTTATAATAGAGGATGGTGATCCTAGTGCAGTGGTTGGGTTGTCATCCTCCAAGTGGCTAAAGGTAACAACAGGTGGCTATCGGGTAATACGTAACCTCATGTAATTTTTTCTTTTACATTATTTTTTTCGATTTTTTTTTTTATGTAAATCGATTTTCATTAATGATTGAAAAAATGGCAATCATTATATAATATAATAAAAATAAAATGTGAAAATGGGTTGTTTTTATTGCCTACACGCCATAAATGTATAATTTATGAATAATAATTAGGCTAAAATTAAGACAAACCGGGATAGAATGAAACGAAACAAGGCCAAAAAAAAAAGTTCGGAATATAACATTTCCGTATAGTGCAGTCTACAGTACCTATAGCACTCTAAGTTAGCAAATATGTAATACTGATACGTATACGTACGTATAATTTTTAATTATACGAATAATTCACTTGATTTTTTAATTTTCATATACGTACGTACGTAGTAAAAAAAATCGCATGACGCGAAATTTTCATTGAAATAAATTAATTGTATATTTAAAATAGGTATATTTATTTGAAATAACCGGATATACTATTCATCGGTTTTACGATTTATTTTATTAGTTAAACAATAAGTCCTAATTAAGTATACAAAGGAAAAAAGTAAACATGTTTTAAATAATTTTGGATTTTTTATTATTAGATACTGTAGTTTCTATTAGGCAGTATTATAATATTATGTAAAATGAATAATGGGTTTGTATTTATATAAAATATTGTATAAATAGAAAACTTTTTTTTAAGAACAAGGTTTCAGTAATGAACAAAAGGTATATAAAAATATATACAACATCACCATCTACCTGCTACGATGTACGGTGTCAAGTACTAAGAAATGTACTGTAGACAAAATCAATATCAAGATTAAATAGCCATCAAAATTACCAAATAAGAGAGTATCTATGCCACCATTATGGAATATGAAATAACCTATGACTCATAAAACCAGAATTTGTATAAATATAATTGAAATTTTCTATAACATCGTGTAAAGCTAAAAAGATTTTAAAAAGATGAATATTAATCTTCACGACCTGCCATCCTTAGCGGTCTTAAATTTAAGTAAAGGAGCAAGATCTGATAGCGGACAGGCATTTTTAAGAAAGTCATGCTAAGAAAATAAAATAAGATACGTTAATAAATGATCACGCATGTAATTAATGAATGAAAGGAAATTAATGAAAAACAAAGATTAAAAACCTCTAAAAGTTCCAATGAGGTTGCTCTACTCTTAACATCTACACAAAGGCAGACAGCCAGAAAACTTTTTAATTCACGCGATAATTTTTCAGGTTTTTTCAAAGTCGGAGTACCATTTGTGGCAATCAAATATAAAGCTTTAAGTGGTTCTTCATCTAAATATGGTGGCTCATTCTCAATCATTTCGATAGCCATGATACCAAGAGACCAAATATCAACTTTGGCACCATATTCTTTTTGTTTTACAACTTCAGGTGCCATCCAATATGGTGTACCAACCATTGTCGCTCGTTTGTTCTTTTGGTCAGTTAACTTGGCACAGAATCCAAAATCGGCTATAAGCAAATAAAAGATAAAAATTGAATTAAAAATAAAGATCAATTAAACTACATAATATATGTATAACTACGAAGTTGAATAATTACTAAGCTGAATAATTACTAAGTTGAATAATTACTAAGCTGAATAGGAATTAAACATACTTATTTTAACATGGCCAAATGCATCCAACAGAACGTTATCACTTTTAATATCACGGTGAATAATATTTTGACCATGAAGATGTTGAAGACCTTTGCAAGTCTATATCATAAAGATAACATAAAAAAAAAAATAACAAATTTAGAAAAATAATAAAATTAGGAAAATGAATGAAATACCATGAAAATAAATTAAAGTAAATTATTGTACCTCAAAGCATATTGCAGCAATTTGATCTTCCTCTAGAGTATTATTATCAATGACATCGGTTAACGCACCACCTTCCATATATTCCATAACAACCCAAAGCTCGTTGCTTTTTACTAAGAATGAATCGAGATAATTGACAATATTTGGATGTTGGGATTCTTTCATTACAAGAATTTCATTAACAATTAGTTCTTTTCGTGGTTGATGTGAAAGATCCATTTGTTTTATAGCAACTTTAGCATTGGATGAGAGAGATTTAGCAACGTATACGGAACCAGATGCACTAATTGAATAATAAATATAAAACGATTTAGAACATGATAAAATAAATGATTTTTTTTTTTTTTTTTTGTTCAAATGACAAATAAATAATGCATACCCTTGACCAACTTTTCTGATTTTACTGTACAAGGCAGTGGGATCACCTGGAGAAACAACCGATCTTAATTTTTCCATAATTTGAGCTTCATTCATTGTGCTAATTCTTTTTTCAGGAGCAGGTTTCTTTGGAGTTGATTGCTGTTGTTTTGATGGAGGCTGTTTAGGTAGTTGAGCAGTTTGTTGAGGTTGCTGCTGTTGTTTAGGAGGATTTGGACCAGGAATACGTTGTTGCTGCGATTGTTGTTGTGAAGAGGGAGAATAATTTGTAGATTGTTGAGACATTGGTACTAATGATGGAGGTGGCTGTTGATAATTATTCGACTGTTGATATTTTTCAGGAATAGGTTGTTGTTGAATCTGGTTGTACTGTTTAATGAAAAATAAAATTTATTAAAAATTTTGAAGGAAACATAAATGCTCAAAAGATAGATTTACATTAGAAGAAATTTGTGTTATAGAGCTTTTATTTTGAGTTGTACGTGCATTATTTGAGCTTAAAGTATTAGGAGGTCTTGGAGTGATCGGAGGACGATTAGGTGGATTTACCGGCTGCTAGCGGAATGAAAAATTAAGTAAGTAAACAATGGCACACGGCAAGATGAATTGAATATAAGTGAAATAAAATAAGTAATTACATAATCATTATTTTTGGAAGAATCAGGGTCTATTCTAGCATTGTTTGCGTTACCACCCATACTGTTCACCGGTGATATCTTGGACATATCATAACCATTAGATCCATCATTGGGGCTAGGATATAATTGATTCTTCTGGGGCATATTATTATTTTTTGGTAATAGGTCAGCCCATTTGTCATCTGCATTTGGAAACCCGGCAATTGGTCCTAAGAGGCCGTGTTGTCCATATGCTTCTTGTTCTCGTTTTTGATTTTCAGTGTAAAACTCTAATACATCTAAAACAGCCTGAGGATTTTTTGCGTAATCTTCTTTTGTGATCGCTGATGATGTTAGGAGTTTGGTCCATTGCTCTGGCATTCCCTATACAAATTCATCGCGAATACATCATTATTTTGATTTTGGCATAAAAAGTAGTATAATATTTTGAAAGAAACTTACAGTGAACAAACCACTGACAGGATCGAACCCTACATGCACGTTATGTACAAAGTTTGTTGGATTTGAAACACCACTGAGAGGTGAACGCTATATATTAAGAAGAATGGATATATATATATATTATTATTATTTATTATTATTTTATCAGTAAACGGACTGATCATAATCAGTCAGAATTTAAGCGGAGACATTTGCCCAATATTTATTACGTTTTATGTGTTATATTTTTGCATGGTATAAATTCACTCTCACACAAAATAATCATAATTTTAAACTCTTCGCAAACAAACAATTTAAGGAATCATTCGAATTCCTTTAAAGAAACTTACCGCATAAATTTCATCCATCCATGAGTATAGTTCTTCGTCATTTTTACAAGAAAGGTAATAAGTTTTGTCTTTTGTTTGGATTTCGAAGCAGTAAGGTTTCAATTCTGTCCGCGAAACACTACTAATCTCTTTAAGGAAGATCAACGCAACGGCTTGATAGGTATTCTGTAATAGCAAAACATATGGTGTTATCGCTATATAATAATTTTTGAACAAATGAATGTCAGATGAGTTCAAAAGGCTACCTCGTTGCGATGAAACGTAAGGGTTTGTTCTCTGAGTAACATCCATCGTTTTGACCAAATCCATGCTCTTAAACCATCCTCCTTCACGGAAATGTATCCCTTTTTAACAACTTGGGAATTACTACTATTCATTGGACACTGAAGGAGATCTCAAGATTGCTCGAAAGACGTTGTAGCCTTAAATCCAGTACGTATGTACGTACAATTTAATAAAGTTTATTCTCAAGTAATGTAATTCCGTGTTACCAAAAGGTTCTCAAACATATCCTGTATCACAGAGTACATACTTTGAATTATGTGACAAAAAAGGAATCAATTGGTGAATTTATTTGTTTATCAAAAATTATTATAATAAACAAATCTTCATTACTATGTATTATCATTAAAGTTTATATAATTTATATAATATTATCACAAATTAGGTTTATAAGGTTACAATAAAAACATATGACAAAATAAATAATTTGGAAAATTTTAAACTTATGGTTTTCATAAATCTAAAACAAGCCCGGTTAACCCGCATCGGATATCTTATTACACATAGTAAGACCTTGATTAAAACGTAATCAATTATGTACCATTAACGAACTTCTTATTAAGTCTTATTCTTTTATCCTTTTATATATACTGTATCAAATATACCATTCTCAGTTATTATTACCTTTATTAAGGTACGTTATAACCCTTAATCCATATAATTATATAATCATATAATCCATATAATCTATATAACCCATATGATCCATATGATCCATATAATTATATAATTACTATTCATCGATTCGCCACTTAACCCAACCACATTTGCATCTATATATTTAATCTATCGATTTAACTCTAATATGCAAGATATATAGTTAATATTAAGCTTATTATACATCAAACGGCATAACTTCCTTAAGATTAAACTTATCTCAAACGTGTAATATCAAACATCCTTATTAGTTAACCGTTTCTGGAATTTGGGCTTATACATAGTTACTTATACGTACGTATACGAAGCTAGTGTTATATACATGGTTAGTATAGCTATTATTAGTAATAAATTTTTATTTTTGCCTTCCAAATAAAGTCTGTCAGTTTTTGGGTTTCTTTTTAAATTCTTTTCTAATAACGTTTCTTCGAAGCTAGAAATGGTTTTTATAGTAATTTTTTTGTGAAACGTTACGTTCTTAAAAAAAGTACTCTAAACTGTATAAATAAGTTACCCAGGCTATTGATTAGGATGCTGATATTACATAATCTACTAATATCAATATAAATCTCGAAATGGTTTTTTTAATGAGTGTCGCAAAGGAAAAACCTGCAATTTTTGGAAATTTCACTTTCAAAAACGGGCTTATCAGAATCTCATAACGACAAACCCGTTTCTGTAAATGTCGAAAAATCAACTATTACGTACAGGTTTTTTCTTAGCGGCACTTATACATATACTTTTTTAATATTGATAAAATTTTTTGGTTTGTTTTTTTAAAAAAAATTATTAATTTAAATATTTTACTAGTATTAAATGTATATAATATTTTAGGCAATTTTTATTTATACGTATGTTGAAATTAGTTAATTTAGAATTAGAATACGGGTATTTTATATATAATTAAATCAACCCTGAGTTGCTGGTTCTATATAATCCATTTAAATTCGTTTCTACTAACATATACATACATATATAGTAAAAATTTTACTAATAAATTAGTTTTTGAGATTTAAAAAAAATTTTTATTAAAATTTTAGTATAAATTATACATATTTTATTTAAATAATGATTTTTATCTGATAATATATATTATTTTTAACTTTTTGATAGTTTTATTATAAACTTTTATTTAAAAAATCATTGATTTTTAGCTAGAATCTAGGTAATATACATTATTTTTTATCTTTTTGGTAGTCTTATTATAAATTTTTATTAAGATTCTTGCCACAAACAAATGCATATTTTGATTTAAATTTTTGGTTTAATATTTTTTAGTTAATTTACAAATGTTTAAAAACAGTTTGTTGTATTAATTAAAAACATATTTAAATTTAAGAGTTGTATTAAATTAGTTTAAAAAAGTATTAGTAAAATTTTAAGATTTTTTATATTGTATTATTTTTTTTATTAAATTAGTCTTTTTAAAACTAAAATTTTTTATTTAGTATTATAAGATACAAAGTTTTATAACCAAAAATCTCAAAAAAATCATACTTTATATATATTAAAAAGTACAATTAGTCATACATACACTTTTGGTATTTAATTTAAATAGTTTATTTATATAAGTTTTATATTAATTATTATAATTGTAATTTAAGTATGAATATTGCTTATTTAAACTTTTTATATTGTAATTTTTACTGTATTACTAGAATATTTTTAATATATATATATTAATTAAAAAGTTTTAAATTTTATCTACATTTTAAAACATTTATTTTGCTTATAATATATCTAAATATTATTAATATCTTTTATTTATAAATAAAAATATTTTATTATATACATTTTGATAAAGTTATTATTTTTAAATAAAATAAATTATAATTATATTTAAAAGTTTAATAATAAATTTTGCTTTTTAATTAGTTATAAAATAAAAAATGTATTTTTAAAAATGTACTTAATATTTTAAAGAAAATATTAAATAATAAATTTAATATTTAAATATAAAAACTAAAATAATTAATTAGATAATAATAAAGAAACTAAAATATATAATTAAATTTTTAATAAAATTATAATTACAACTATAAACAAAAATAAATAAAGCTTATTTAAATGTATATTTTGTCTTTTTTAAATAATTATAATATATTTTTATTTTTTAAATTATTATATTCTAATTTAAATTTTTTAAATTATTTTTAATAATATAAATAATAATTTTTAAAAATCTAACTTTATATTATTTTTTTTATTTTTTTATAAATCTTAAAAAAATTTATTTTATTATTAGCACTTATATTTGAAAATTTTATTTTACTATTAGTATTTATATTTAAAAAATTTATTTTATATTATAAACTTTGATGCTAATATATATAAATATTATTTTTAGACTCTCAAATCTAAATAAAATTGTATATTAAAAAAAATTTAATTTATATAAATTTTTTTTTTGCTTTCACTAAGGCTATTAGTTATAACAACTACTGCCTTTATTGTGAATTCAATTATAATTATATAACTTGTACAAGGTTATCCCTATACTATATTAGCAGATAGCAGCACAAGCTCTTGTACACCTAATTAAATGCTATCTAACCTAATCGTGACCTTCCTGTCTGTACATCTGTCAGGCCATTACATATTTCAGAGTACATCATCTGACTATAAGGCTCTAGAGGGCCTTCTGCTAACTAACTATCTATATTTAATCTTTGCTAACAAAGCTCACTCTTGTAAAGTTCACTCAAACCCCAATACTGACTTCATAGCATATCTCTAGTACTTATAGTATACCTTGCTTCTGAAATCAGACTCCCAATCCAGATAACCTGATAGGACTGTAACCTGTTCTTAGTACTCTAGAGTCTGCTTCCAAGATCTTTTTCCTTCTGTTCAAGACTTCCAGTAGACTGGTTGGTGGTACCTCTCACCTGAGGTTCTTGTCTGCCTAATTTTTTCTATATTGGTATCTGTTTCCTAGGTCTAGTCTTTATAGTAGTACTGTTGAAGATCTGTATTATCTCTTTATTTGGGTTTTCCCAAATAGGCTTTAGTTTTTCCAGTTCATAGATTTACTTGGCCATAAGGACTTATCTTGTGTTTGTATTGTCTGATGCTAATTTGCATTCCTTTGTATAACTTCAATATTGCACAGATGCCCTATGACCTGCCAGTTATTTGGTGCAACTATATTACAGATACTGATCCCAACTGATCGACAGATTGCTGTTGCTGTAGTATCAAACACAAGGACTTATCTTGGATTTGCACTGCCTAATGCCGGTTTGCATTCTTCTGAGTAACTCAAACATTGCACAGATGCCTATAGTACTGATATACATAGGTAGTTTTCCAAATTTTCATCATCAGTGGGTTTTGAACTCCCAACCTACCACTTGGGAGGTTGACAACTTATCCATTTCACTAAGTCGCCACATCTCTATTTATATAAATATTATTTTTAAACTTTTAAATTTAAATAAAATTAAATATTAGAAAAAATTTAATTAAAATAATTTTTTTAAAAATAAATTATATTTTATATAGATATTTTTATTTATATTATTATTTTTATTATTTGTTATAATAAATAGATAAAAAAACTAACAAGAAACAAATAATAGTAATTTGTTTAATTTTTTTTTTAAACTATAATAATATAAAACAAAACATTAATAAATTTTAATTTATATTATATAAATTTAAAGTTTTAATAATAAATAATTAATATTTTTTATATATTTTTTATAACTTAAACAGTTATACTAATACTTTATTAAAATTCTTTTTTTTATAATATCAAATTATAAATACTTTATTTAATTAATATTAGATTAATATATAAAAGTTATTATATTATATTTGTATTACTATATAATTATATAAATACTTAACATAATATTATATTTATATTTCTCTAAATTAAAACTAGTATTATAGTATTTAACTATTATTACTAACTAATATAAGATTATAATTATTTTGCTATACTATATTTTCTAATTTTATCCATTTTATTTACTTTTTGTAATAATTTTTTTTCTTTCAAATTAGTTAATTCTAGTATATATTTACTTTTTTTATTACTAATTTAATATATACAATTTTTAATATATTAGTATTAGAGTGTTACAATTTGATTTAATTTAATTTAATTTAATTTAATCAAATATTAAGTTTAAATCAAATTCAAATCTGAAATTTTTGAATTATATTAAATTTATATATAATTAAATTTGATTTGATTTAATAAATATTTAATTTAATTTGAAAATTTATAATTAAATATTCAAAATTATAAATTATTTACTTGAAACTTTATTAAGACAATTAATTTTTTATTTTATTAAACTAAAAATATTTGCTTAGAAAAACATTTTTACTTAAAAGCTCAAAATTAATTAATATAATAAAAGGCTTTATAAATTAAGTTTTTTTTACTAATCAAGATTTTAAATTTTTTTTAAATTAAATTAAATTT